AACGAGTAATATAGATCAAAAGGAGTGCTGGTGGTGCAATAGTTAAGTGCTTGGCTGCTGTCTGAGTTGTGTAGTGCTGCTATAACAGAAATACCTCAAGTGGATGGCTCCAAAGTCCAAATTCAGGGCACCAGCTCCAGGGCAAGGCTTTTTCTCTCTGATGGCTCTGGGGGAAGGTCCTTGTCATCAATCTTCCCCTGGACTAGGATCTTCTCAGCACAGGGACCCTGGCTCCAAAGGATGTGTTCTGCTCCCGGTGCCTGTTTCTTGGTGGCATGAAGTCTCACTCCTCTCTGCTCCATTCTCTCTTTTATATCTCAAAAGAGATTGACTCAAGATACAACCTAATCTTGTGAATTGAGTCCTGCCTCATTAACATAATTGCTTCTAATCCTGCCTCATTAACATCATAGAGGTTAGGATTTACAACACATAGGTTAATCACATCAGGTCACAAAATGGTGGACAACCACACAATACTAGGAATCATGGCCTAGCTAAGTTGAGACAATTCAATCCATAATAGCTGCTAACTGAAAACTCGGCAGTTTAAACCCACTATCCGCTCCTTGGGAGTAAAGACCTGGTGATCTGCTCCCTTAAAGGTTATAGCCTAAGAAACCGTATGGAACAGGTCTGTCCTGTCCTATAGGGTCACTAGGAGTCAGAATCCACTCCATGGCACACAACAACAGAAATATATGTCAAAGGAGCCCTGATGACTCATGGTTAAGTGCTCGGCTACTAACCAAAAATTTGGCAGTTCAAACCATGCAGTGGCTTTGTGGGAGAAAGACCTGGTGATCTGCTTCCATAAAGATTACAGCCAGGAAGACTTACATGGTAGTTCTACTCTGTCACATGGGGTAGCTATGAGTAGGAATCAACTCGGCAGCATCCAACAAAATTATTTTAATCCTAATAGATTTTTTTTGCTGACATTATGAAATTCTTAGGAAGGACTTTTACTACAGTATATTTTTATTCATTTATATTATAGTTTCCATGTCCCATACAACTATCATAAGTATTATATTTGTGAATAATTAAAATTTCATGTCACTTTTAAGCTTAATCAGTACTTTGTCTTTCATTTTTAGTTTCAGAGGAGCAACTAACTGAATTTATTGAGAACAAAGATTATATGATATTGTTGACTGCATTAAAAAATTTTAAAGATGAAGAAGAAATTGTGCTTCATGTACTTCACTGTCTACATTCCCTAGCAATTCCTTGTAAGTGGCCTATATATATGATTTCTTGTATCTGAAAAACTACAATATATCTCTTTTCTGAGTGTGTTTTGAAAATATTTTTCTTATTTAGAAACTTGTGAATGCTAACCTCATTCATTTATTTATGCATTTAATTAATTTATATTAATTGACATTCTACTGCAGCTGGCTCTGTGTTTGGGGCCGAGGAAATAGTAGTGGGAAATCTACATGTCCCTTGCCTTTTCAGAGCTTATACTACAGTGGGGGATAAAATAAGCACATAGATGATTACAATGTATTATATAAAGCAGTCTTGTAAAGGTTGATGGTAGAAGTATGTAGGATTATGAGAACAGATAAAGAGTGAGGCAAGGTCTTTTTGCAGACACTTGGACTGTGAAGAGAACTGTGGGTGGAGGGAGTGTGAAATGAGGTGGGAGGGCAGGCAAAGTGTTCTGGGCAGTCTAAGAGCAAACAGCCTGGAGCAACAGAGAGCATAATGTGTTTAAGAAGATAAAAGTAGCTCAGTAAACTGTGTTTACGTGTGTACGGTACATGCATGTATGGATATGTATGTGTACATTCCCAAATGCCTGCTTCTGTTTCAATGATGGAGTCTGGGAAGGGCTTGGGAAGAGGCATTGGATAAGGCTAGAGAAAGAACCAGATCATGAAGGTCCTCAAAAGCCACATGCAGGAGTTTACACTTTATTGTAATATTCGTTTAGCATTTTAGTAATGT